ACATCCTCGAAAGTTTTTGTGGCCCGCCAACTTCGCAACCTTTGACCACCTTAATCTATATAAAATGAAAATATTAGTTTACTAATCATGGTACCATGACCAGTTCGTATTTGATGTAAACAATTTGATAGACCATACAATGAGAATAAAAGGGTTGCCGTTGGTCCAGGAATTTTAATGGGATGGACATGTCTGTAAAAAAAGTTTGGGACCAACTGGTAAGAAAAGCTGTCATAAGCTTTTTTGGGGGAAATTTACAATAATTCCCTGATTTTAAACTAAGAAGGTGACGACGTTTTATTACAGCTTCTGTTTTTATTTTTATTTTAACGTGCTATCCAATCTATTTAAGTGGTTAGCGTACTATCTTGCCTGTAACTGAAATTTCGTGTTTCGAGCAATATGAAATTTTTATAACATAAAAATATATTTTACATTACCATGGAAGGCCTTTATTGACGCCATAATGAATTTTATGACGTCATTGTTGAATAAAGCTCTCACAATCGGCAAAACCTGGGGCTCTCATCGTCTAAATCCGGCCCTGATGAGATCCCTTTACCTTTATCTATAATTATGTATTCTTTTATCCAATCTATTTAGGTGGTTAGCGTACTATCTTGCCTGTAACTGAAATTTCGTGAAATCAACGTTTACGGTGCATTTTTTTTCTAGTTTTATTGACCTTCAGATAATCCGAGGATATTAAGAGCTATAGCTTAAGTTTTCAATTCTTGCGTTTTGTAATAATAGAGAGAGATGGAGTGATTTTTTTTTGTCAACTGGAAAACACAATCGAAAACATAAATAAAAGCAAAAAGCTCGATACAAACTTGGTGATAGATGCCCAATTCATATATTAAAAGAGAAAGAAACGCTTCAGAGCTATTTCATTAACATCAACAAATCTTAGAAAATTTATTTCATCGTACATACTCTAGGACTCGGTACATACATTTGGTGTATATATTCTCACTGGCATGACATAAAATCACTAGACCATGGGCGCGAGGATAAGAGAAATTCCAAAAATAAACTTGACACTTAATCAATTGCATTTTGGTTAAATAATATAAAAAAGTTAGGAAGTTTGAAATAAGGGTTTTAGGGAATATATATATTCATCTGAAAGTTGCGAAGTTGGGTGATGTAATACATATGACATCGGGTAGAGGAGTATTGTGGTACATGGTCCACAGTATAACTTTATAATATGAATACATTATACGATGCAGACACACAGACATGAGAAGACTATTATGTTGGTCAACTAGAAAATTTTTATAAATAATATTGTCACGTACCACTCTATCATGATACGCGGTTGGCACATCGTGCTAAGCTTCAGCACACGCCATCGTACCTCTGATTGCTGATTTTCAACTTATTTTGTCTTTAGCATTCATATAAAACGATTGCAGTGAGAGAAAAAAAACATCTTGCCTAATGACTTTCTTATACGCGGCCGACATGAATGACGCTACATAATAGTTTTTGAAAAATTGTCTGAAATGAACAAACGATGTTGTGGAGCGTGGATTGTGTCAAACTTCAACGGCAAGTATCACGAAAGTAGTGAGTGCGACTAGTGTATATGCGGCCATGCAGAGGCGTGCCAAACTCTTCTGCTGCCAGGGGCGAGTTTCTGATAATGCTGCCCCCTATACCTGAATATTTCGTGGAATGAACAAATTATATAAATAAATTATTCAAGACCAAGTAAGGTGGAAGCGTTTGTTTTATTAAATAAATCATCAACCCGAGCAACAAACTCATACTCTCAAGATCGAACTCATTTATTGGCAAAAAACCAGTCTCTTATTTCTATGTCCAATTGCTACTTTGCTGTCAACAAATGTCTGAACGACAGCCTCTTTCCCCTCGTTCGTCAGGAATATCAGCCGAGCCCAACCAACGAGGCAATAAAATTTTCGACATTTTTTTGGAAAATCCCTGTTTCCACTTCGGAAAAGCGACAGTAGACGTTTTAGCAGCCACACAGACAGATTTTTTGGTATGGTTGTAAACATTAAACTCGTTTTCGCCGTTTTGCATGCTATTTGTTAGTTTTTGGTTATGTTTCGGAAATTACAGTACGGATCAAATAATTCAATGATTATTCTGTCTTCTTATAGTTTAATGGATCTTTCCCTGAACTTTGACCCCCCTAAAAATTCTTCCTATACTTTACCATTGCAAAATTTTTGGGGCTATTTTAAGAGTGCTTTGGCAAGTTGGCGCCTGTTAAATGGGGTGTGTGTTTCAAATCATCATTATGATTCATCGCATACAACAATCTAATTTTTAAAAGTACCGGTAAAGAATTTTAGCCTAGTCTATCACAGCTATTTCTACACTAATTTTTATTACTGCAATTAAATTAAAACTCCTAGGAAGACAGAGTGATCATTGAGTTATCTGATTTAGATTTAAGTTTCCGAAACACAACTGAAAACTAACAAATAGAGTTCAAAAATGCAAAATCGAGGTAATGTTTACGACCACGTTTGAAAATCTGTCTGAGTGAGAAAAGTGTCTGAGCGGATGCGAAAAGGGAGCATTGTTACGTCACTTTTTGCATCTTGCTGATTGGCCAATGTTACGAAGTAAACAAGGAAGTCGATACTTGGGGAAAGGTCCATGGACCTTTCCCCGAGCATCAACTTCTTTGTTTATTCCGTGACATTTGCCTATCAGCAAGACGTAACAATGCTCCTTTTTCGCATCCGCTCAGACACTTTTCTCACTAAGACAGATTTTCAAGCGTGGTCGTAAGCATTACCTCGTTTTCGCATTTTTGAACTCTAATTGTTAGTTTTCAGTTGTGTTTTAAGAAACTTAAATACAAATCAGATAATTCAATGATCCGAGGAGTTTTAATTTGATTGCAGTAATAAAAAATTTGTGTAGAAATAACTGTGATAGACTAGGCTAAAATTCTTTACCGGTACTTCTGAAAAACAGATTTTTGTATGCAATGAATTTATAATGATGATTTGAAACACATACCTCATTTTACGAGCGTCAACTCGCAAAAGCACTCCTAAAATAGCCCCGAAAATTCGGAGATCAAAGGTCGGGGAAAGGTCCATTGCTGCTAATCAAAAATTTGACCGGAAATAGCCAAACTAGGCTAAACTTTTCTATCGGTACTTTTGAATATCAGGGTTGCATTTTTTAAAATTTAAATGATTGTTTGAAACATATAAATCAGTTTGAGGCACTAACTCGCGAAAGCACACTTGAAATGAGCGCTAAAAGTCTCGCAATTGTAGAATATAGGAAGAGTTTTTCTGGGGTCAATTTCCCACAGTTAGTCACACAAACTAAACACATAATGTCAGCTTATAAATAAATAAAAACATGTGTAATAACGCAAACTACAGCTCGGTTCTGCCCCCCTATAACGTGCTGCCTGGGGCTTTAGGGATAAATTCCTTATTTTAGGTAAAATTTATAAAAAGACTAAAAATTGCTTATTTCGAACGGCTGCCCCCTCCGCCCCCCTCTAGGCACGCCACTGCGGCGCATGGGATCATAAACACCGTGGATATAATATATTATTGTAACGACAAGCTTAAATATATTTTCGTGTTAAAATTGTTACTGATGCAGATAAGGTCATTTATTTTATTAATGTGTATTACTTCGTGTTGTACAGCTTGTTTCATTCACTGTTACGGCAAATTGGATTAATTAGTCGAGTTAATCGCTGAGTAATTAGTTAAAGAATAAACACAAATATTTTAAAAGAATTCGGGGCCGTTAGCTATCTTAATAATTGACGCCAGCGAGCTTGCAGCGATGCCGTTATCGGAAACTTCCAACTCAGCTCTTGACGTATATTCGTGCTAATTATGCAGCTAGTTGACTATTGTTAAACTTTGCTAATTATCAAGGGTGCTAAACTACAAATGCTCTTGCTGCATGCTGTATGTATCAGTTTTAATTTTACGCTCGAAGGCTGTTCTGCTTTACCTCAAAAAAAAAATAATAGAGAATTTTTACGTCCTACTTTCTATGTTTTTAAATTTTAGTTCGATATATCAAATTGAAAATTTGTCGTTTTAAGCACAGAAAAATGAATTATTACTGAAAAAATGATTATATATAATTTTGAGAAAATCAGACAAAATAAAGACAGTATTATGTCCGTTGTACGTCTCGCGGAAGAATATGAACCATAAAGGTTACTAACGGTCATGCGACATAGCGTCGCCAAAGAAATACATTGGCGGAGAAAAGAAAACAAAAGTTCGGTCCTGGTGCCGTAGTAAGCCGGTTTGGGGTAAATCAGCTGTTGTTGCGGCATGGGTAATAGACTGTCGGACTAGAATAGTTGGGGGATTAGTTGATACCTACCAGTACGTGAGTTACTAAGCGAACAAGTTTTCACAAAGCGTAGAGGTCGGCATGTTGAAATCGTTGAATGAAATGTAAAAATTGGGAATTTCACCAAAATTCGATTCCCTAACAGCCAAACAGCGTTAGAGTAAAAGTGGGTGAAACGCCGATGGCGAAAAACCCAATACAAATATGGAAAAAACGTTGCCGTAGTTTTCAAATCGTGCTAGGCTATGTTCTAAATTTGAAATGAACTTCTGATCTTGCGCGCAGTTTATCACGACGCGAAGGTCTGATGATGATAAATCTATTACGGTATTGCGCCAACAAAACTGGTACTGTACGTCGCCGCACGGTAATTTCCTTGCATGGGAAAAGTCCTAGGTAGAACTGTAGAAAAACTAATAACAATGCCTGAATATCGTACCGGCACCAAAATACAGCTATGGCAGTATGGGGACATAATACTGTAATAGGGCAACAGTTGACAGTGTAGGACAATATTTTAAATACACAAATAAGTTTATCGGTACAGTACGGTACCACCGGACCATATTCCTGTATTCAGATATTGATATTTGGATATCTGAATACTGGAATACGGTACCAAATTTTACTGATGTTTAATGTCTGAATGTTGCTGTTTGAACTTGCTTCTTGCATGTAGTTCAGTATCTTGATATATATTTATTATTAAAGTCTGAAAGAGCCATATGGCTATTTTTAAGTAACTTAGATAAAAAGTTCTGCTAATTATATTTTGTCCAAAACATGGCAACAATGACCAGCTTATTCTCATTTACAAGTCCTGCTGTGAAAAGACTTCTGGGATGGAAGCAAGGTATGTGACACATTGCATTTTCATTTATAGACAGGTCATTTTGATGATAAATATACCAAATTGTATCATCAGTTTTATAACACACTTCACATATCACTGTTTTCCCCAAAAGAAAAGTAGGCCTCATTCATTCGTTTGATGTAAAACTATTCTCATTTTAATTAGATGATTCTTTCTACTGTTCCACAGGTGATGAAGAAGAAAAATGGGCAGAGAAAGCTGTTGATGCTCTTGTGAAAAAATTGAAGAAAAAGAAAGGGTCCTTGGAAGAATTAGAACGAGCTTTAAGCTGCCCTGGTCAGGACAGCAACTGTGTTACTATACCTCGATCACTGGATGGCAGATTACAGGTACAAGTCTCGTATTAGACAAAATAGCCGTAAATTTCGTTTCAGGAATGTTTCAAGTCTACATATCTACTTTTGTCGTCATTTTCTTGTGAGATAAATATTTTAAAATTCCCAGTAAATAATTATTGGTCTGTTTGCCAACACAAAAATTGTGGCTAGAGGATACTTTTGAAAATAGCCCATAAAATTATATTAATAATGTGCTAAATTATATTTTAGGTTTCTCATCGCAAAGGTTTGCCCCATGTGATTTATTGCAGAGTTTGGAGATGGCCCGATTTACAAAGTCACCATGAATTGAAACCACTCGAATGTTGCTCATTTCCATTTGATTCAAAACAAAAAGAAGTTTGCATAAATCCTTACCATTACAAGAGAGTTGAAAGCCCAGGTTTGTGTTTATTATTTACACTTGACTTTTTTATAAAGGATATTGAGGTATTCATTTCTGATACTGGCTACGACTCAAGGTGAGATGCATTTAGCAGAGATCAGAAATACTATGAGATTCACAACATTTTGTAAATCGTACAGATTTTAGAAGAAGCAATCAGAGTTTAAAGATATTTAAATGTAAAAATTTACAGAAGAAAGCCTATTCAGTTAATGGGGAGATAGGTAAAAATTCATCCAAATATTACAGAGTTGTGTAGTCTTTAATGGATATTTTAGTATATTGTTATACTACACCATTTGCACTGAGTAACACTCTTATATCAACTGTCTTGACCCAATGTTAACATTAATTGTCACCTTTATTACACTATAGAATGTGAATTTTTTTTTTGAAATCTATTTCTGGACATTTCTATTTTTCCTCTGCTTTGCTGGCCTAAGTTAAATCAGCAGTTCTTAGAAATTAAAAATGCATTCTCACATCAGTAATGATCTTATCAAAAGTATTGGATTTTCGAGTAAAAATGTGTTGTGGTTTACCTTATCTGCTATATAAAATATATCTTTCTTGCAAAATGTTCTTTCATTGAAGGAACTCCCTAGTGTATATTAACAATGTGCATGCTTGGTACACAAGGTACCAATAACAAGATATCTATTTTTTTTCATAAGGAAATTGCAGGTTACCAACTAGTTTATAATGAAAATAATTTTGTATGTGAGCAAATAGTACACAGAAGGGGCAGTAAAAATCTTAATACAGCATGTGTCACTAAACTGGCTTTTCTTAACGCATGGTAAATGTAAAAACAATCTGAGCAAAGACCAATTTAAAGTCTGACATGTATGGACGTTCTTTATATGTATATAATGTTTTTCCCCTTTTCCACTTGATGTCTTCCTGTATTGTTTCCTGCCTCGCACCCTTGAATGAAATATTTGTTGGGCAGTCGATTGTGAATCACCAAGTAACACAATGCCAATTAAGAACGAATTTTTATCTGAATCATTTAAGTATGTATTTAACTGCTGGGAAACATTTCAGTATGAATGTAGATAAAATTCATTGTTGTTTGGCCATACTTTGCTTCATTTCAGTAGAGACTTTATTATCACTTAATGAACAGATTTAAAGAGTGCCGGTAATAGAATTTCTGATTTTTCTGAATTACAATGTTTACGACTTTGTGTATAGAAATGAAAGTCAAATTTATATCAATAAATACCATTTTATGGCGAAAAAAGTGTGATCAGTTGGCCATGAGAGCACTTGACGACGGCGCTGTTGGTTTCCTGCGCCTGGATAATTTCATCAAATATTGTCTGAACAAAAGAATATTATAATGACGTACTATTTATTGAATACAGTTGTCCGATGACGAGAATATACACAGAGCCCTTCCCAACAATCTGGATTTGTATTAAAGCAATGCCATACATTGGCGCATGTAAAGCGTGTTGGATATCAATAATAGATGTAGTAACGCTGGAACTACCTTATTTTTCTTGTCATAGCGATGTTACTTCGATCGCCGAAATATAAACCTATATGTAATATATAAACCTAACATTTCTGGCGTTCACCTATATGAAATTAATCATTTGGCTTGGATATGCAGGGCTTGTTCTCGAATATTCTTTTATTGTGTAAGCCAAAACTCCTAACTTAGCTCTTCATTGTCGTCTAATATTATGTCGCTTAAATGGCTGCCTGAATCGCATGCCATTGTGCCTTCAAACTTGTAACTTAATATCAGATTAAGACGAGCCTACTATTGTTCAAATTGCGCAAGTGGAATTCTAGTCTTAATTAATGAAATATCCCACAGTCAACCAACGGGTTGGCAAAATTGGAGTTTCCTGTGGTTTCAAATGCTGGAATTGGAAATTCCCTTTTCGTCAATCTAACCTAAGTTGAACCAATATAAATAGCATTCTGGATTATAGGGATAGCATGAATATTCATTGTCCATCGAAAACCCAAGAATTTGGACATAACGCAGAATTGTTCAAAGTCGTGACATACGGTACTTCATTGTATAGCGTTTTTAGCTTAGTATTATAATAAATACATTCCAGGTTGTTTAAACTATCTTTATTATATCCCGACGCATTGACACGAAATACATGTACTTTATCGTAACAATGGGAGACCAAATATTTTCTGCAAAACCAAGCTGTATGAACAGTTCGGCTTTTTATTTGATAAATGTCTGAGGAATGTATTTGAAACTTCTATTGTGCCGTGTTTAATAACTGCCTAGTAGTTGTGTGGAAAGTTGAATGCGCTGCGACTGTTTGCGTTCGTGATATAGTAATATTAGCCAGCAACTTGGCGTCTCAACGGCACCTTTATTTATAGTTTACTTTTTGCTTTTTCAAGACGCCGCGTTTTAACCACTTTTGTTGCATACCGAAAATTTCGTCGCGCCCAGTCGTAACAAACGGCGCCAACCGAAAGCGCGTCCCTTTGTAATCTATTCTTGTACATTGTACATTCTTGAAGCCAAGTAACGAGCAAAATCGTATAATTACAGGTTGTTGCATACGCCGTGTTGCATTAGGTTCAAATACACTTATTGATACCTGTATAGTTTACCATAATTCCCACTTCATCTTCCTGTTTATTTTCTATTTTGATTTTGGATGTAAAATAAAATTGCCATGATATAAATTTAGCGAACCTCGGCGGTTTTTTACGTTCAACTTGTTCAACTGTAATTTACTTTGTTTATCGAAACGTTGCCAAAAGCGAGCTATTTATGACTAATTACCGCAAGCACCTGTTGTAAATTTCTCCGCACCTGTTTTTCAATTGCCCGCGGGAGATTAAAAACGATTAAAACCATTGTCAACGAACGAACATTCTGTATGTTGTAAACTGCAGTCAGTTGCCACATTAAATGTCGAATGAGATATAGAACTATGAATATGGTTTTAAAGGTTTAAATTTTTCCGCATTCCAAATAAACTTTTTTGACGTTTTTATGTTTTTAGTTCTTCCTCCGGTTCTAGTTCCCCGACACAGCGAATTCCTGGCATCTCACAGCATGCTCCACCGAAACCGTGATGTCCGCGATGCTCACAGCCACATGCCACCTAACGCCATCTACAATGCCGAGTCTGGTGGAATGTTTAACACAGCTGGGTAAGGTATTTGATAGCATATTGTGGTTTTATGTGTCAACATATACAAAGATATGCGCGACGCGCTTAAAACATTGATCGTCTGTATGTTTATCATGTTGCATATGGGAGTTGTGTTCTTGCGAACTTCTATGGTGTGTGAATTATAATAAATAGTTTTCTTTTTACAGTCGTCCACCCCCACTCTCTCACTTTCCTGGGTCGGTGTCCCCTCAAAATCAATTTGGTGGTCCTGTATCTCCAGATTCGTACAACTCGAATTCTCCGTTTCCTCCTCCCATGTCTCCCGATGGTTCTACGACAGGCCCCGGTAGTCCATACAGTTTGCCCGCTGAAACTCCACCGCCCGCTTACGATGGAGAGAGGCCAGATAACATGGAAACAAATGTACCGTCTCACACACCCTCTCATATTTCTAATCATCATCGACACAAGATTGGTGAGTAAAAGTTCACCAGTTGTGAAGCGTGGTTTATCATTATTTCTCGTCGTATTCCGAACTTAGTTTCGGCGACGTCTGAAATTTTCCCACGTTGTCGGTTTGTCGACTACTCAACGTAGAACTGATTTTTATTGAAGTTGTTAACTTGTCCAAAATTTCTGCTAGTTTCGTGATGTTTTTATTATTTTCAATACAAACCAGCCTTTCTACACTACTTGTGTTGCAAGACAAATATTCATTTCGGTTTTTGTTAGGATTTGAAACTATAAATCATTAAAACTTTAACCTCGACTGCTCTGATGAAATCACGTTTTTGACTGCTTTGAGTCTTCTTTCACGAGTTTTGATAACTTCACCTTGTACTATTTTTAGAAGATGTGCAGCCAGTGTCGTATACTGAGCCGAAGGAGTGGTGCAATATTGTCTATTATGAACTGAACAATCGAGTAGGAGAAGCGTACTCGGCAAGGTCTACGCAGATCATTGTAGACGGCTTTACCGACCCATCAGCAAAGTGCAACAGGTTCTGCCTTGGACAACTGTCCAACGTAAATCGAAATTCGACCATAGAGAATACACGACGTCACATCGGAAAAGGTATTATTATCCTCATTCCAGTTTAAAACTAATTAGTGAATCTATATGGTACTCTGTATATGGATTTTTCCAAGCCTCTAATGCTCATAATTGTCCTATAGCTCCGAGGATATTGGTTTTGTTGCAATATACAATATGGCAGCATTAAAATTATTATTTGTTTACACAGGAGTTCATCTCTACTACGTTGGTGGAGAGGTTTATGCGGAATGCCTTTCTGATTCCGCTATATTCGTACAATCTCGCAACTGTAACTATCATCACGGCTTTCACCCGACCACAGTTTGCAAAATCCCTTCAACATGTTCGTTGAAAATCTTCAACAATCAAGAGTTTGCGGCTTTGCTCTCGCAATCAGTTAATCACGGTTATGAAGCGGTGTTCGAATTGACGAAGATGTGCACGATAAGAATGAGCTTTGTCAAGGCGAGTATATTCAAAACGATATTTCTGTTGTTGTCTATTGGTATATTTTAACCTCAATTCGCAGGGATATCTCAACAGTGTTTTTCAAATATTCCAGGGTTGGGGTGCTGAATACCACAGACAGGATGTGACATCAACTCCGTGCTGGATCGAGATTCATCTCAACGGCCCTCTTCAGTGGTTGGACAAAGTCTTACAGCAAATGGGGTCGCCGACCAACGCAATTTCTTCTGTGTCATGAGGATAGTTTTTAATCTACGAACTTCGTATAGGAAAAAAAATTACGATCATGAACGTTTGCCAAAAAAATTGACGATGGAATTGTATATTGCATTGCTATTGCGAAATACTATTCATGCTCTTGCGCAGCCAAGCCGCAGCACGACGACAGTTGTAGGGGTTTTGAATTCGTAGACCACACCCATACTCATAAATTAAATGTAAAATAATATTAGAAAGTCAATTGACACAACATAGGCTTTGTTTCGTGGCCTTGAAGTAAAGTGTTATTTCTGAAATACTTTTAATAGCTCTTCTTTCACGATTTTCGGCGCGGTTATTGCACACAGTCGCCCTTCAATGAGTTCGATTTTTCCAGCATATTCGGAGTATTTCATTTACCTTGTGTGGCGGAAGAAAAACTTGACTTTTTGTATCCAGTTTTTATATTTACCGTCATTTTTTTATCATTTCACTCCTAAAAGTAATACTGAACAATTTCACTTGTTTTTTTTCGCATACCAGTTTTAAACTTGTTGCGTTCTTCCAGATGCTTACCAGTACTCTCGAAAGACGATCAGAGCGGAGCTTTAAATTATTTACCCGAACTGATCCTAAAGTTTCCCACGCGCCAGCTTTTACAAACTTTGAGCTATTATAGCTTCCATGTTTTTAAAAAATCCAGAGTATAGTAACTAATAATAACGCTTGCGACGCAAAATGCATACCATTTTGAACCGTTTACTTTTTGTGCCTTACTCTTTAGTTCTGGTTTTTATATTCACATTGCAGTTTTCAAGATGGAAAGTTATCGAAGATCGATGTTTCCTTTATATCATTACAAGATAAATTTCAAATGATTCATGCAAACGCAATGATAGTAATTAATTATGAAACCATTTTAGCCGACTTCGCCTTTTTATGCTTTTTGTGATTGTGTGTATCTCAAGACCTGATTTTGTTCGCTGCCAATATTTTTTCAGTATTAAAAACCTATTTCAAATTGGATGTCCGTTTGTACGTCATTTGTGTTGCGTAATAGCTATATGTTAAACGGAAGAATATATTTACATGACTACTTTTTTATTAGTTTGGTTTAAACAAACGTGAAATCGAACAAGGTTTCCACACCACAGAATATTTTGGTGATATTGCTACCTAAGACATTCTGGAGAAAAGCTGTAAAATGGAACCAGGAACAGGCCATTATTATGGCTAATTTCTTGTTTCGGCCTTTTGTGTTATGTTTATCGCCAATGAGAATAGAGATAGTTCAGAACATGCATGGTTGTATCATTTAAAAAAAATCTTGATCATGCTTAAAATTTCAATCATTATCAATCTAATAAGATGCCGAACGTACGACGAAGCATTGTTATTACGGGTCCACTGACCGCGATACTTCGAACATTATGACGTGACAATGCTCATCAACTGAATGAGGACACTACACGTCCAGCTCTTACACAGAACAGTGAAAGGAACGGGGGATTATGAAAGAATATTTCAAAACCGTGAGTACTGAATCACCCTCCCTTATAAATTGCCATTTACCGCCAGTTTTGGAACCACTGCTTTGGACCATTTCGTACGAGATTTATTTCATTAATGATGTTTCTGCTTATGAATAGCAATCCTTCCAAAGTTGGCATTGCTAAAATTCTTTTCCCCTGTCCCTTGTACAGCACTTCGTTCTAAAGTCCTACCGGAACATATACTGAAACTGTTCAAAATGCTGACAGAAATTACTTACCTCCCACTCCAAAAAGTACTGGATGAATTCTTCAAGTCATTATAAACGCCCAGCAATTGGCTATCTTATCAGACACTTCGTGCTTGCTACATGTCACAAACTCAAACCACTTTTAAAGTTGAAAAAGACAAACGAGCGAAGTTGAAGATTTCCACAGATAAAATTTAGGAACATTGAGTTCAAGAGTATTAACAACTGTCAAAAAGAAGAACGAATTCTGCTGTACTCCTCAGGGGTGTAGCCAGAGATTTTCAAAGGGGGGCTTCTGAAATATTTGTTTGCCAATGAGGTCGAAACAGCTAGCGGGTCCGATCGAACGCTGGAATACGCGTATTTATTTTGGTCTTGGGGGTCTAAAAAGCATTCAAGCTACGGAAAATCTATGATATATATATATATAGAAAAATGATTTTATATTTTTTTACATTTCAAAAATTCGACCCGCAAAACCACCCCCTGGCACCCCTCGACACCTTCCTCCAGAAACTGCCCAACATCCCAGCTTAAAAAATCCCTTGCAATAGTGATCTGCAATTTAAAAACTAAGTCCTGAGTGAAATATCCTATTCATCATGTAATTTGGAAATCCATAGCCACATTCATTCCTCCATTTACATGAGTGAATGTAATATTGTTGTAAGCAACGTTCGTTCTAATCTAAGAGCTTGCTTAGTTGCGCGGAATAGAAGGCCATGTGAGCTCCAAAAAACAGGGATGCGCGGAAAAATAGAAAAGAACACAACATTTTAAAGTTAAACGAACACAGAATTGTCAATACGCGCAGCTTAGAGGGAACGTTGGTTGTAAGCTAACAAAAAAAAATAATTCAGACACAAAAAGCTCTATTCACATACCTTCAAAAAAGACTCGTCTCGTCAAGTCTAGTCCTATGGAGTGGCTGAGCCTGGCTCAAAATGTATAACTTCATGATGTGTGTTCAATGTATGTCTTGACCCCTTTTGCACATATACTTTGAAGACAGATATGATGGAAAGATATAAAACGGGAAAACATTGAATAACTGGAACAAAAAACCTGGACTGGACAAGCTATGCTAAATTTTGTAGTGATGGAAAAGTGAAATGTAGAGAGCAAAACAAAGTCTTTTTTCCTGAAATTACTAAATATGGCACTACTTTATCCGACTGCCTCAGATAACGAGAAAATTTTTAGCTTTCTGCAGCAGATCGCCGTTTATATCTTATTTGCTATACAGGTCAATTGCTAATTTTTTTTTTATATAAAACCACCCTTCACAGTGGTTGATAAACTGACGAATCATTATTTTTAAACTCTCCGGCTGTTTCTCTGCGTATTAATAAATATGCTCTAGTAACAATTCCCATCACATCTTCGGAAGGATACTTTAAACGGCCTTTTTCAGCAGAATAAATCTGCCTCTTGGTCGTGATTGGGTTAAGCAAGCAGTTAATGATGAGCCAAACTTTGATAATACTTTGTGAACCACAAATCCACCAATGTACTTCTTAAAAATAATGTCATAGGATAACACCTGGCTATACTAATCTTATAAACTACTTACAAACGGTTAAAATTTGTTATCTGGTTAAGTAGAGAAATAGCATGCACTCGAAAACATAATTAAGTCGGAATGGAATAACTGTACCTTCCTTCAGAGCATTCATTCCCGCTGCTAGGCTATATGTGGTGTGTCGATCTTCAAACTAGCAACCACGTATAATAATTTAATAAGTAACTTGGCAGGAATTGACTGGTGTAGGCTCAACAATTGACTAGCTGAGGTTACCGGAGTACTTCGTGTAAAAGTCACTCAGCTTTGGTTTGTAATACACAACAGCTATGGACTTGATTGTGCCAATAACGGCAACTGGCAGCTTCTTCTTCCGCCAGACTGTCAGAACATGATGGCAATTTTCTGACGGTTTTTGTTTTCCTCTGTAAAAATGCTTCCACCCATTCTATATTTGGCTATAATTAGGCTTACCATACGTCCCGCTTTAAGCGGGACAGTCCCGCTTTTCAGCGTTTTGTCCCGCCGTCCCGATAAGTCAGCCAAAAGTCCCGCTTTTCCAGCATAATACACAAACTTGTTCTCGTTACTGTTGTTTCTTTGTAGCGCAGCGCTAGCCTGCTTACTGAAGGTGAATGCGTTCGTTTCCCGCTGATTCCCATTGATGGCAGACGTATCGCATGTAAAACCAATACTAATTAGTCTAAATTCGAATTATTTGTACCGGTATCGTTAACGTCAATTCCTTCCTATTTTTCGAACTGAACCCGATATTTTGACAGAGAATATGCGCATGAAATTTCGATAACAATATGGTCAATAAAGACAGCCGAGACAGCTTTAAATGTAGGCCTATGTAGTAAAATCGGAAAATGTGAAGTTATAAAATCACAGCTAAGGGGTCGTTGTCTTTCGAGGCGTCCCGATTTGAAGTCACAAAAATATGGTAACCCTAGCTATAATACACTTTTTTTCGGAATTATTATTAACTGAATATTAATGGTACTATTTCTGCATTCAGTACTGTATTGTAACAGTAAAACAGTAGAATGTGTACCGGTACTCTAATTTTTTTTATATATAACGCTAACGGTTACCTGAGTTACACGTAACAGATGGCAAGTAAAGGGGCTGATGTTCGGTAGGCTAGTACTGAAAAAGCATACAGACCTAGGCTGCCTAGTAATTAGCTTAGAGTCTAATTCAGGGTGGTCCAAGATTGGCAGCTACGCGGGACACAAAATACTTTTGCATTGTTCGCGGGCCATAATAGTGCCAAGAACTTTGCTCGTTTAACTTCGCTAGTTGCCTCAGCAAGCCATAACACTAGTCAATTCAGTGACATTAGTGATGCAACAATCTGTCAAAAGATTTTTTGGTTAATTTTAAGACGAAACAACAAGAAATGCGATTTTTGATTCCTCTCCGAATGCGACGCGGGCCAAAGATAATAAAGTGGCGGGTCACATGTAGCCCGCGGGCCTGGGTTTGAACCAACGGCCGGCAACCAACTTTAACATTAAACAAGTTTATGGACGCCATCTTGCCATATTTGGAAAACGCGAAACAATGTAGTATTATGGGAAATTTTCGCCGTGTTCTTGTACCGAATCCAATAAGTCAGCTGTTATAAGGGCTAGAATAAACCCGAAGGGTAGATTTTGAACTTCAAGCTATATGCTATCTAAATATATAACGCAATTAAGAATAAAAAACTATCTAATGCGTTAAATTTGGCCACGAACACAACGTAGAACCATTTTGGTCATCTTTTTGGAAACTTTTATAATGAAACGCCGATTTGACAATGTATAATGCCATCGCACCAATCCTACAATGTCATTTGGTCTTCTAGTGCAGCTCAGAGCTGAGCGACGGGCATTATGGAGCTTGACAGACGAGAAAATGTTGGCCCGAAAATAGAAACGGCCATTGAAGCGAATTTGAGTCCCAAGGTAATTTCGACGAATAAATACAACTGTCCATCTGTGACATCACAAGAAACGTCATTGTCAAATGGTCAATTATGACGATTAGAATGGCCAACTTACTTCTGAAGCAACTCGAAACCGGCATACTTGTTTTTAACGACAATTCAATGTACTATAAATGCAATTTGGCAGACATGAAAGGGTATCACCACGTTCGGCTAAGCTTCTACTTCAAAACGCGACCTTCAAAATCTATCTATCTAAAATATTAGTGAAAATAATAGGTATGTTTCAATAATTGTGTGAGAACTTCTCATAAAACGCTGTGTTAGATAGCCGAGAACAATAGGCACAAGATGGCGTCCATGTCTGAGCGTTGCCTGGCTTGTATTATATATGGACCAAAGTGACTATAAAACAAGTGGAGGCATCATGTGCAATGATGCATATCGGACGCCATTTGGGTCCGACGAATCTCGAGAACGGCGCAGCCTCAGTCTGTTTTAGAGGGAGAGAGTGAGAGTTTATTTGTTTTTTTCACAAGAAAACATATACACAAAGACGGTCTGCTGATCAGGTTTTGTTTGTTAATTTGTTTGGAGATTTGTTACTGTTTTATATTTTATTCGGGTAAGTTTAGCATTTTTCTTTTGCTATTTGCCTAGGTCCTAGTGGAACAATACTGGTATCGTGCGGTTTCGTGAAAGTTGCGATAGTTATCCTATTATCCCGTGTGAGCTATGCAACTTTGTAACCTCATATCTCAGGAACCTTACATTATATTTAGACAAGTTTTATATTGTTTGAGAGACAATCTAGGACAGGGGTCACC